TCGTGAAATAACCTATGAAAGCAGTTATTATCCCGGGACCTCGGAGCACCCCTACTAAGTGTCCGAGTCCGAATAAAATTGTAAAAAAAGTTTTATTAAAGTTATCGGAACAATTAGATTTCTGTACCTTATTTAACTTGCCATAGATATGTCGTGAAAAAAGGGCGGCGTTTACTTTAGCACATAAAAATGTAATTGAATGGTAATAATGAGTTTTCATGCATCTATTGACTCAAGAAATCGCTCCGACTCAGTATGTTATTCTAATCATCTGATTGCTAACTGATTTAAAACTTAATTCAGTATAATTAAAAGAAAACTGAGTCTAATACGATGCAACTACATTTAATAAAAATTCTGTAATTTACTGATTTGTTACTGATATACAACCTTCTACCGCTATTTTTGTTATTTCCAAATATATAAAGTACTTATATTGTGTTTGTATTCACAATCGATTTATTGTTATTTATTGGTAATTAGTTATATGACGCACATCATTTTTCTCAATAAAAATTATGTTCTCCTATTTAGTCTTACTTATTTGGTGAAGGTTAGTTCCGGCCTCCGCGCCGCTGGATTCGGCGATTCCATTCAGTTTTGTCGCAATCACCCAGTTCCGTTTTATTGCACTTAAATACCATTTTTTTTATTTTAATATAAAATTATTGATTGGCAAATCGAGGAGGTCGATGGCGCGTGTGGTTATTCGGCTGTGGTCGTTGAAGTAAAGCTACTTTCGTAGTGGTCAGTCATTAGATGGGTGAAGAAAGGCACGATAAGCCGTTGGTCCCGGCTGCATCTGCAGTCGATAGCACCCGCCATTCCGCACTGGGCCCGCGTGGCAGGTCATGGCACAATCTCCCTATTCCATCCATAGGGAAGGCATGTGCCCCAGCAGTGGGGACATTAATAAGCTGATGATCAGTGCCGTCATCGACCTATTGGTGGCTCTGGGCATATTAGGATAATGGGGCCCCTATGACCCCCGTTTGGTGATTTAACAGGAACTAGGGACTTTGTATTTGATATGAGAGGGGCCCTGGGCACTGGCCCAAAGTGCCCACTGGGAAAGAGGGGTCTGATGATGATGACGACGATGATTGGCAAATGGCAAGTTCATTTATCTTTTTTTGTTGCCAAAGCATCAAATGTTTAATGGGTTTATAAAGCAGTGGCAATTAATCTGTTCATCTTTCTTTACATTATTATTAGTATTTTGTGGGTATTTTTCAGTTGGTATTCACAGCGTTCCCCTCTGTCGATATTACTCCGCTGCCGCTGTTGGGCCAGCTCACGAACAAAACTAAGTTGCGCTCGGATCGTGATATTTCACCAGACTGAGGCAAGTCGCGCGAGTGTATGTTACAGATCATAATGTTATGTAATCTGCTGTAAAACATCACTTACAAAAGGATGGTGTTATTATTACAGTGTTATTTATATTCAACCACTTATAAACACAAAATTCATATTATTTTTCTAAAATTCAAATGTCGTACTTCTTTGACAAACAGTCGACTCGCCAGTACAAATTTCAGATCTATCAATAAGTAATTTTAAGTTTCACCTATGCCCGATTTAGCCCTGTATTTTTTTATGTTTGAGTGTCGAAATTACAATTTCGGTTTTACAAAAGTATGTTGGACAGCATTTTTGTCCATATTCCTCCCCCCGCAAAAAGTGGCATAATGATTTCAGTAGTATTATTAGTAGTTGTCCAATTACAGCGCATTATGCGGCTTATAATGCGATTCAAATAAGAATAGGAAAGCCAATGACCTCTATCTGTCAAATGCCTGAAAAGTACGGTTTGCAAATAAAACTTGGAACCCTTTTTTAGCACTCCGCTAATTTAAGAATAAAAACCATTTGTAAACAAACAATAACAAATATTGATAATTAATATTGGTTGATATTTTTTTTTACTTTGTGTTGTTTTCACAAAGTGACATTTGGTTGACAATTTAGGTTATCAACCATTCATGGCCAAAGCTCAATGAGTGAAAAAAATATATCAACCGATATTAATTATCAATATTTGTTATTGTTTGTTTACAAATGTTTGGTTTTTATTTTTGAATTAGCGGAGTGCTAAAAAAGGGTTCCAAGTTTTTGAAGTTATACTTCTTTAGGCGCGTTATGAAAAAATGATGAGAGTGAAATTTTAAGATGCGCGCGCATCGCATTTAAGATGCGGTCGCTTTAGCGACTAACCTCATGCGTTACTTTTGTGTTTACCGCACATTAAGAAAATCTACCAACAAAATAGAAATAGAATCTCTATTTAGTGGGTGCTAACGACTGCATTGTCAAGGCCTATCAAAAGTATTTATTAATCTGGAACAACGGAACCAAGCGCGATTCAGGAGACTACAGCGCCATCTCTTGACCATTGGTGTAGTAGAACCAAAAACCACATCTTTATTTTTTGTAATAAAGTAACAGTTATAGGTATTCATATTTATAATATCAAAAGTATTTATTAATCTGGAACAACGGAACCAAAGCGCGATTCAGGAGACTACAGCGCCATCTCTTGACCATTGGTGTAGTAGAACCAAAAACCACATCTTTATTTTTTGTAATAAAGTAACAGTTATAAATATTCATATTTATAATATTTATCCACATGTTTCTAGTTTGTATATTCGGAATACGTGTTTGAGTTTCATACAAGTGCAAATCACATATGTTCTAATAAATTATATTCAGTAGCGATTTTAATTGAATATTTTGATTATTTATTTATTTTTTCAAATTAAAACTGAACTTTATTGACTGTGTCCTTTTCCAGACTTTTTATTAATTTATTGTAATTAATTATTTACATGCAATTAAAAACTAATTTTAAACGATGCCAAAGAAGGATAACTTCTCACGCGCCTACATAAGTACACGCACCCATTTTTTTTTATCAAACCCACAGACATATAACTATTAGCAGACCGAATATTCAGTTTTAAACAGCGTGGCAAATACACACACATTGAAACTCACCAAAGCATGGGCCGCATTTAGTATAGTAGAATAATGGATGTCATTATTGTTTCATGAAATACCTATCCGAATAGATAGGTCCTAATGTGATGTCCATGTTAATAATATTATAAATGTAAAAATCTGTCTGTTTAATATCTTCATGGCGAATTTAGCCAGGCGAAATCGCTGAACCGATAATGATGAAATTTAGCACGGAGATAAAATTAACACAGGGAAAGGACATAGGTACAATTAGGAAAATTGAAATAAAAATTTAAGGCATAGTTTTTATCTGTTTATTTTGAAATAATACAAGTTTTTTTTAGTAAATTTCTCTGAGATACATTTGTTTCTTTGCATTGATGTTTACATCTAAGATCAAAAGAAAATTTGACAACAACTTTAATAAGCAAGTGGACATGGTTTATGTCATGATCTGGATTGTTCGAGTCAAATAGTGAATAATCGACATAATCACATTTAATCAAATTATTAAAATCATTATTTTTGTTTATTTTAAAACAAAAAACACTTAAAACACTATAAGTATTTGGTTGCATATATTTTAACCATGCGTTCCGAGTACTTTCATCCTTTGGAAACCTAGAACAAAATTGTTTATGTGGTTATTTGGGTTATATACCTACCGATGCCAATGTTCCAAGAAATATGAATAGCTAGTCTGTAATAGGTACCTATCTATTTACGTTCTTGTTTGCATTCACATTCAAAATACAATGCAAACAAAATGAATGCCGAGAAACTTTTTGTCTTTGATACCGAGTCCGTCCTCTGTTATGGCAACAGTACTTCAGTTGTCAGAATTGGAATTTCCTATCATGATTTATCCTGATTACTTCTATTTCTTTACTTTTAGGATATTAGTTTTCACTGGTAGTGTCTTAGATAAATAATCCTACATAGAAAATGTTACATGTTGCGATAATATTTAAATAAGCTTCGAAAAGACTCAAAGACATTTCAGTACACAACAAAGACACATAAAGACTTACTGATTAAACGTTAATCCTGGTGTGCTATTGTAGGTAGCACTTTCACATCTGTACTTGTACTTGACCATAGTAATTGAATAATCTCGTTTTGTAATATAGTTTCATCAAAGCAATATTCTTAATAAACACCGAAAAGTCGCATGTCCGATAAGTCATGAATAAAATGGCGGCGAGGAATAAAAATGACACGCGTTGACATTTGTTGATGTGTGAGTCATTGTGGCAATAGATGGAAGAATGAGATGCCACTATCGAGTTGTAGCTGAGTGTAAAAAGGATAAAAGATCATGTTTTGATTCATAAATATAACTAGGTTTTTATGTTCCGTCTGCTATAGTATTATATGTCTGTGATCAAACCGTACTTTTCAAGCGACATTAGACAGATAGAGGTCATTAGCTTTTCTATTCTTATTTGAATCGCATTATATGGATGAAGGTACAAACACTGACTTTTTTTTCAACACTGAACTTAGCGCACTCTGCTGGTGCATTTGAAAACTAATTGACGTTCCAATTAAGCATCAGCATAATTCGGCGTTGTGCGCCACTGAGTTGCACTAAGCTCTGTAATTGGAAAACTACCGCTAGTGCCGCTAACTCTGTTTTTTTTTCAACACTGAACTTGGCGCACTCTTCTGGTGCATTTGAAAACTAATTCACGTTCCAATTAAGCGTCAGCATAATTCGGCATTGTGCGGCAATGAGTCGCATTATGCTCTGAAATTAGAAAACTACCATTATGTCTTTATGCCCTCCTAGCCGCGTCGGCTGTGTTGCTCTATTGTATTTTATTTCAAGATGATCAATCTTAAATTGGTTTAAAATAAAGTTCTTGAACGCAACGCCATTGTCATATTGACATTATCAAATTCTGACGTTTAGTTGGATGAACCAATTACACTCAAGTGTTACAGTTTTAAACATAATTAGAACCAATAGCTGCAGCTTTAGCATTGATTTGTTTTATATTTTCACCAATAAGAGCTTTGCTATGAAAAGTTCTGGATAGAATTTGACAGCTGATTTTAATCATAAAGTTCCAAAACACAACACTTTCTTGTTGTTTCGAAGGGTGGGTGAGCGGATGGTTTTAGCGGGCTGAGGCCGCATATTGTTATTAACAAGTTGCGATTATGTAGATTATTATTGACATTTTAGATTCCGAATACAAAAATGTCAACTGTTCTCTTAGCTGTTGTTGCTGTAATATTGTGTGTACTTTTCCGATTACTCAATGTGAACAGTCAGCCTCAAAAACCTGTGATTTATGGGAAAGACCGAAGTTTCATCGAAAACATTTTGTTTATTTCACCATTTATTAACGAACCGTAAGTAAATTCAGTAATCTAGTTATTATTTTCATTCATATAATATCAAACATTGAAATCTTTAGTACTCGTCCTCCAATGGTCATGCCTGTACACCGTGTTTGATGATGTCATACATATCACTCACAATCAGTACATATATTAATAAAACTTATCGAATATTGAGCTCCTTTTATCCTAGCATACCTGCTATTTGGTTCTTTGGTTAATTTTACAATAATTAGAATTAAAGAAATCATCAATTGTAAATATTTCTCTAATGAACTATTTTACTACTTTAGATTTGTATACAAACACATAATATAAAATATAGTAAAATATCTGAAATGTTTAGATTATTTTGTAGTAAGTTTTTTATTGCCCTTTAAATTACCATTGTTGATAAACTTTGTGGCTATTAAATAGGTATATAACATTTTATAATAAACACTCTCCAATACAACAATTATATTACACTGATATTTACCTGCATTTCTGTTTCAACCACAATTACCTAGTTTAAATCTAGCTTATTTTTCTGAAGATATAAAAACTAGCAGTTAAACACAGTAACTACTGTCTTTGAGTTTGAATTCACCCCTTGAAGGGAGCTATAAAGCCTTGTGAAAGTTAGATAGCGGAACATTAAATTTATATTTTTTGGCCATTGCTCGGTCTGTAGATATTTACAACACTTGTAGAAAAGTATATGTATGTGTAAGTTTACAGCCTCTACTTGATTTAAAAAGTGCCAAGTTAAAAAAGGACATGGAACATAAAGCCTCAGCTTTCCGTTAGTTGTGCTTGAAATTTCACCACAACTAATGGAATTAAGTACCAATTGTGTAAATATCTATCCGAAACAGAGAATAGGTTGAGTGTTTGTCAAGATTTGTCTATAATCAAATTCACTATGTAGGTACCTATCAAAACTATTGGGGCCATGATTAAGATCATAGGTACTGATTTTCTTTGGGTAAAAATTAACAACACCATAATGATTAGGTATAGATATTTACCCCAATCACAAACACTGACATGGAATTTTATATATTAAGTATATAAAATTATGTACAAAATTTTCCTGTCACAGTGTTGGCTGGATGATTGACTAAATATAGGATGTAAACTATTTTTCATACCTCTAAGTGATAAGAAAGATAATGATTCTACATTGAAAATACATACAACCTTCAATTTTATTTATTTTACCCTTATGTACCCTTATTATACTATATTCATTAAAAATGCAAGTCAATAAAATTTTTAATCTCTTTACAACTGACCTAAAATAGAATCTCTACGGACAAGCATTAAACAAATTAATATTACCTAATTTAAATTTGTTAATATTATAAATCAATAAGTTATTGATGTTATATTCATATTTATGATATATGGTTTTGGAGAACTCATTCAAAGAAAGTGCACTATTGCTATTTAAAATTAATGAAACAAATGTCGAGTCATTGAGTTTTGTTCATAAAAGTATTTTTAATGTCTGACTCATGCACCTTTGATTCTCTGCCCAGTGTAATACATATACCTAGCGTGAAGTTGTGTAAGCAACATTGTAACTATGATAGCAAATGGCAGTCAAGCATTTAATAAATTCACTCAGTAAGACTGAAATAATAATTTCATAAGATTAGACTAATAAACTTTATTAGACTATTTTATGCTAAATAAATATGTAGCAAACCATCTTATAGTCCTCCTGACGGTAAGCAACCACCATAGACTATAAAGCTACCTATACCAAAAATATCCCCAGTTGAGCCCCAATTGAGTTATTTGCCTCGATTTTTGACATACATACAAAATTATATTGTATTTATTTATTGATCAAACAGTATAAATTAACTTAGTCGGAGAATAAGATCTAAGGAGTAATTCTTTGTTAGGTACTTTGAATTCATCGCCGGGTTTCATTTCTTCATTCATTCAGGACAGCGACGGGTGCCGTTTTATTTTGCGTTATCAATGGCAAGTATTAGTAATGTTAAGATAACATGTTATCTAATTACACTTATCCGTAAAGATGTATCGATTATCATCTCGAATCTCGAAATTATTTCGAATTTATTTCTCTGCCTCTTTTTTTGTTCTGAGAGAAGTACAATCCACCTTATAGAAAACCACAATAAAATACACATAGGTAAGTAAGGTTCCAGGGCTCCACGGGATAGAGAATTAGGTCCGTGTCGGCACATTGAGGCCATTTGTCCACCGCGACCGTCAACGAGAACGAGATGACGGCGCCGAGGTAGCACACATACTATAGCCGCTTGTCCACCGCAAGCTCTTCATGTCATCTTTATTTATTTATTTAGTTTTCTTAACAAAGTTTTTACAGCGTTTTTCTTTGTGGATTTAATACAATAAAATATAAAAACAATCTTAAGGCCAATTACAGAAACTCATTATGTACACATTAGATACTAACGGCGTTACTATATATCAGTATTTATTACGTTTAATTTTAAAAATTGTATATAAATCATATAATTTACTAACATAAGATAACATACATACATATCTTGATCTCATACAGAAATAATCTTTTTTGGTGACGGGAGCTGTGGAGAAACGGCTGAGGATAGGGTTACCAGGACGCTAAATGCGGAAATCCGGTCTCGACATGTTAAAAATCCTGATTATTGGACAAAAGTCCTCCTATCTTTGAGTAAAAAAATCGTCCTAGAATAGAACAAAACTATACTTCATATAAAAAAGGAGGGTAGGTATTACAACCTCGAAACACAGACAAAAGCCTTTCCAAAGTATAAATCTCTACTAATGTTTTAAGATGAACTGTGTAACTTACAAGTTATTTGTGTGGAATCGGCGCGAAAATTAAGGTGTAAAGTACAAACATTGTGTAGCGATTGTGTCCAAGAAGAGCGATGAAAAATCCGGTCGCGGATGAAATCCGGGCGGAGTCCGTTCTAAGTTCATAAAATTTTATCAGGATTTATCCGGTCAGATGGTGACCCTACCTGAGGATAACTGCAATGGCACTTTTCTGCCGCATCCATCAGCTATCTTCGTAACCAAACTAGTTAACATCAGGTGGGGTGGGCTAATTTGCTGTGCCTCCTATTTTAAACAATGTCTCTATTTTGCAGATATATTCCGACACGATTATGGGGCTTCAGCGGCCACATTCAGACCATCCTCCACAGTTTAATAGGGCGTGTCCGCTGCCCTTGGCCCATTGGCGGTAGAATATCATTGGTCTTGCCGGACAAGTCTACATTGACCTATGACTTATATGAACCAGTCGGTTCAGAGCACGAAGGTTATTATTGTTATAGTTCTTACTACATTAATTACTTATACTCCTGACCTTGCCACTGGCCGTATAATATGTACGAGTTCATCGCTCGTATTACCACTAATACACTCGACGTCAAAAAAATCACACCAACGCGAAAATAACTTTAAAGCGTTATTAACCCATAACACGCGTATTTACCCCCACCAATATTGGTATAATTTAAAAGTCCATTCAATAAACTTATAAAAACAATTCAATTATTTTTATTGGAACAATGCAAAAAACAATTAAGTTTACAAAATAATAAAAATCTTTAATTAAGCCTTAACTTAAAACCTATTAATTACAAAAAAAATACAAAAAGGTTCTTAAAACGAGTCGGTAGTCATTTGGGACCGGGACCACTGGTCCTGATGGGGACATGGTATTAATAAATTATTTTGAGGCGGAATTCGGGACCGAAGCTAGTGGTCCCGAATGACACCTATGTTTAATGATTATTTTGAGTGGTATGTTGGGACCAAAAATAAAGAAAGAAGAGTTTGATTAAAAAGTACAGTTAACGACAAAAGCTCGTTAATATATTAGTATTCGGGGTGATGACTAACCTAAAACCTAGCGTTATAATAACGCTTGAAAGGTATTTTCGCGGAGGTGCGATTTTTTTGACGCCGAGTGTAGATCTCTTTACTATACATAATATTATAGTTTTTGCTCTAGTTGGTGTAACCTACTTTCGATATCTATCGAGTAGATTTTTTTTAAATAAACTGCGTAATCATAAATTAATATAAATAAAGGAAATCACAGTTTATTATTCTTACACTGCACAAAGGCTAAATCTTTCGTGATTTCATTCTATTTCCTCTAATAAATTTGTTCATAACAAGTCTGTATAATACCTACGCGTGCTTTCACCTACATTTTCAATGTGCAGATTCAGTAAACTACAATTTATTGCATTGTATAAGAAATAAGTTGTTTTTAAGTTAACATAATTATGTTATTCTTACGATTCAACTTACTGTTTTGTGAACTTTCTGTTTATCACGGGTCAAAGTAATATGTTATGACTAGCATAATTTAATTATCCTTTATAATAATATACCTGGCTTCGGAGAAGACTTGTTTTTGTTCTCAGGCGTCTAATAACCGTAATCTTAGTCTCCAAACATTATCTATAGCAGGAAACTGCACTAAAATCCGTTGAGTAGTTTAAAAATCCAAGCGCACAGATAGCGGGAGTGAATATTTTATACTGCCATATTAAAGATTCTTTAATTTTACGTAAATTCATCCATCCGAGGCAGCAACTATCGTCAAAAAAGTTTATAATTAACTTAGATAAAAAAAACGAGCGAGCCTTACGAATGATGTGTAAACATTTGAAACCTCACCTTTATATTATTAAAAAAAGGAATAAAACCTACTACAAAAGGAATAAGCCATTTGAACATTATGTTCTAAAATCCAATCAAATAGCGCGCGCTTCCCCAACTTCCTGTTACACACTTCCGTCCCACTTCACGTAATCACTCCCACAAATTGCACGAAAGCGAGAGGAAAGATGTTACACATCAATAAATCTAGTGCCGGCTAAATTAACCGGATTCATGTTTCATTCCTAGATGACGTCACAGTGGCCATCTGTCCTGGAATAGGGAACACGTCGGAGAGCGTATACATCCGAACCTATGTGCATTATTCGCAATGCCACGGGTACAGGTGTGCAGTTCTAAACCACATCGGAGCTCTAAACAGCGTGCCGGTCACCGGCACTCGGATATTCTCATACGGTGAGTCAGAGCAGAACAACTCATTTACAAGTTTACACCATAAATTTAAGACTCATTGTGAAATCCTAATGATATTTTCTTTGCGCATAATTATCATTTACCGTAGGTATGGCAAAGCATTTATTAAGCCGAATGTCAATAGGTATTATCCGGCCAGTTTCAAAAATCAACCCCTAAAAGGTAAGGATTAACGAAAATCTGGTTCCAGTTGTTATTATAATCTAAATAATAAAAATATCCAGGCAACAAAGCACTAATAGGCCTATCTCTAACTGAAATTTGCTTATTGGAAGTTAGCGTTATTGAGGGCCTCGAGGCAAAACTGATAAACATCAGTGCTGCTTCATGATGATGACGCATAAGAAGTATACATATTAACTTTAGGAGAAGAATTTATTTAAATTGCACAGCCTTCTCCAATTCGCGGTCCCAGCCAGGAGTCCATTGAACCGCTTAAAAACATTAGAGGACTAAGTACTGAGGTCAACTGACTGTCTTATTAAGATTAAACTTACGTTATCGCCGTGTATTATTATTATAATTTAATAACAATTACAATTACGCCGCGATGTGGCATCATTAAGCGCATTCTACCGACTATACCACGGCGAGTGTTCTGAGGAGTTATTCTCCCGTATCCCTCCATCACTTTTTCTTCAGAGGACCACGCACGCTGGCCTATGTTGCCACAGAATTACTGTGGTCACTATTACTACACAAACAAAGAAAGGACAATGTTAAAATTGGCCTAAGAACCAACACCAATTTGGCATTTATGATTATTCTTAGTATATTTTTTGCGATAATTATCAGTATTTAGATTGTGACGGACACTTCCAGTTAAGTAAGCTAAATTAAAAAGTTAAAAAATAATCTGAGACAATAAATACCATTTTATGTGTATAATCTATGGCAGCGCTGCAAACAAAACACTCTTTCTTACTAATGACGGCACTTCACTTGGCTATTCGTATTTGCTATTTTAAATCATGACATCAGTCTGTCCTTTTCATTCCTTACTAAGCATGACAAGGACAAACTGTTGTCAAGTGAAGGGCCGGCATAAAACTCGTTACTCTGTGGTTGTGGTGCATGCAGTTTGCATTCGTAGTAATCTGTGGCATTCGTGCATTCCAAAGAGTAGTTTATTCATGGAGCACCCCCACTAGAGTCCGCATACAAGGCAAGCGCTTACGCCAAGCTTAAGTAGTATTTTACCTATGCGTGAGGCACGCCCACAGACGTCGCGATACATCATTTCATTTGGTAACCGAGCGTCGGTCGCACTGCTTCTCTCGTTTTTGTGTTAAAAAACTGTAAAAAATGCCTTCATATGCAATTCAACTGTGTGGAAAGTACAGTAAAACTTCCAGTCTTCAAAAATATAGTATTACTTTTCACCGGTAAGTTTAAATACATTACAAAAAGACAAAAATACTCTTATATTAAATTACTGTTAATTGTATTTATTTTTTGGTGAACGCGTTGATGTCTTTGTACATTGTCCCTTTCTCGCATGCGCTACATCATATATGCTATCCCGGTCTCACACCGGCACGTGTATTGCTAGTGACGCAGACGCAGCTCATGTCTCATCCCGTAAGTTTATCGATAAGTTTGTCAGCTATGGAAATGGAAAAAATAAATAAAAACTATTTATTTCATCGTATTCAATAACAGATGTCATGAGTATACAACCAACAGTTTTTATTTGATTTCAAACATATCCTACTAAAATTTGAAAACGCGAAAATTTGTATCGATATTTGTTAGTCTTTCACGCTAAAACGGCTAAACAGATTTGTATGAAATTAAATGCGCATAGTTTTCGACCTAGATAAAAACATATAATTAAAGATATTAAATAGCCTAGATACACCATGAGCGCTCAAAATGTATCCCAATCAAGAAGTGCTTGAGCTCCTCTCAAGTACTTCTTGGTTCACAGTCACGCGCGGACCGCTGAAAAGTCAAGATGCCGCAAAGCTAAAATAAATTAATAACTTAAATATATAAATCGAACTATTTGTGCTATTTGTGAACTTATGTGAACTATTTGTGCACTTTCTAAAATCGTCGAAGGCATTATTTTATCTTTTAAAACAAGTAAAAAATATCTGCAATATTATTTGACAAACTGCAACTACAGCGAATTGTGTGCATGCAGCTAATTTAAAAGGCTCATTTTTGAGACGCGTATCCGTGGGGTCTCTTTTTGATATCTTCCCATTTTGACTTAATTTAAGATGAATTGTTATAATTTTCTGTACAAAAGTACAGAAAATTATGTTAAATTTTTGTATAAACAAAAATATAATGTATTTAAATATAAATAGTACATCTTCGTAAAAATGGGTTTTACTAAATTTCTTTATTGTCACTTATGACAATAAAGAAATTTTCTGGTACTTATACCAGAAAATAATAATTAAGGGGCCTTTATCTTCGGGTCGGTGCGAGTTTGTTTTGTTTTCGATTCTGTACCGAATCTGAACAGATTCTTTCCGAGTGCATATAATTAAGTGAGAGCTTTCCCACTAAGTGGTTCCCGTACAGATCTTTACCGAGCGGATACTTAGCTCGCTGTGCCGAGTGCTTCCGAATGCTACCGATTCATTCGACTCGCCTATGCTGTCACTCCTGCAAACAAAACGAAATGAATCCGTACTGACCCGATGAGTAAGGCGCTTTAAGTTTTAAAAATTATTTTATGATAATATCATCATATTATTGTCTATCTATATATTTTTCACGTGTTTTTTTGTGTTGCTTATATATTATTTAGTTTGTAGTTACTGGTCGCCTCATGTAATTAGAACGCACCAAAGTACTAGGCCTCTATACTAAATTGTTTATCGATAGGAAATATCGACATTTTCTAAAATCGATCTTACCCTCATCACTTCGCTGCATCAGTGCTCAGGTATATGATCTGACCTTGACGCGTCCAATCACAACGGGGCTGACCTCCCTGCACGCCGCCGACTTTGGCGATTTTGATTCCAAACAAAATTTGTGTGATGCGGACTCTAGTGGGGGTGCTCCGTGAGTTTATTATACCGGAAAGTGCGTTCTCGTTTCGGATTACCTGTTGTGTGTGTTTATTTGCGATTGTTTTTCCTTTAATTTAACTATTTCGGCTATCTAATATGCCATCGATGTTACCAAAGAGCAGAGCCCTTATTACCAAGTGCTAGTAAACCTGTGCCACAACATCCTGAGAGGATCATACTGCCAAATTATTCAAGAACACCTGATACACATTCACGCTGCATATTTACACAATATACCTACATGTGATATACAAATAAACACAATAAACAATATGATACAATTATGTGAAAAATAGTCAATAAATAAGAAGCAAGACTACAGTTTTTATTTTATTCATGATTCCTACCTAACCAAGTTTTTCCTAATAGTTATTCTTTAAAATCACACCGAATGAAATGAATTAGTTGTAATATTAATTCACTTTATACTGAGTTTATACTAAATTCATAGATGGACCTATGTTTCATTGAATATTAAACATAACCTCAAAATTTTTTTAGTTTTCCTAATAATTTAAGTTCTCAGAAGTGTCCGTCAATATTTTTTTGTTTTTACAGTCATTTACTTACGATTTGGAACCTAGAAAATAATATTTCATGATTGTTGGTTCTTAGGCTAACTATGTATGGACGCTGAACAATGTCCTTTGGTGACTCATTTCTTTGTCGTACTATTCGTAAGTGGAAATCTTTACCCGCGTACGTGTGCCCTCCTTCCTACGATCTGGGGTCCTTTAAGAGAGGTGTGAAAAAGCATATTTGCAGGCCGGCAAGGTGAGGATGGCAATCTACGCGTTTAGACTTTATCACCACTTAACATCAGGTGCGGTAGAGTCATTTGCCTACCTGAATATATAAAAAAAACAAGCGAGCCTTACAGTAGTCGCGTATGATGTGTAACATATGAAACCTCACCTTATATTAGAAAAAAAGAAATAAAACCTACTTTGTAAAGGAATAAGCCATTTGAACATTATGTTCTAAAATCAAATCAAATAGCGCGCGCTTTCGCGACTTCCTGTTACACACTTCCGTCAGTCACATTTCACGAAATCACTCCCACAAATTGCAGGAAAGCGAGAGGAAAAATGTTACACATCATAAACTAAAATAATGAATATAATTATAAGCATGTAACTCTAAGGATATTTACCTATAAAATACGATTATTGACATTTTAATTATACAATTTAATAGTACGTAAAAACCATACGAGCATCTCGTTACAACTAATATGTGATCATCTGTTATTGATAAACTCAAACTCATTTATTCAGTCTAGCCTGTTACAAGCTCTTGTGAAAGTCAAACGCTACGCCATCGGTTCGTTAATCTACGGCGGCGGGAGACCTTGTATATAGATAGTGTTAGTAAAGACTGAGGCTTACAATATGGTATTGAAATCCTTCGAAATATCGAACGTGTTAAGACTAAAAGCTTTAAATGCAATTTTCGTTGCTACAAATGGGTAATATTAATATATTATATATCATCAGATTCTATTTTAAAATTTAGATGAAAATGCGGAGACTTATACCATAAGGAGTATTCTGAGCCAGGTCACGCTATATTTTGTATGGTGGCGGTGGGGCCATTCGCCCAACGGGATTGCTTAGGAAAACGCTATCGCTTACGATTTCATTTTGTTATTTCTAGCCGCCTGAGGTTTTCAAATGACTCGCGCTCTTTTTTTTTGCATTGGTAATAACAATATTAAAGAAAAGGAGCGTGAGGTATTTCAAAACCTTCGGCGGTCAGAAATGACAAAATGAAATCGTAAGCGATAGCGTTTTCCGTTAGGTGAATCCCCCCAGATATGGCGCTGTCGTCATATTTGAAATCAAACTGCGAATCGAATCCGGAAATTCCCAGTGCGATCACACACCATCAGGTGAGCAGTCTGCTCGTATGCCCCCTATTATATGTATATATAAAAAAAATAAACAAAGTTCATATTTATTCAATACCCAAGAATCAATCCTCGCATTAATGCGGCATTCCCACAAAGACAGCTCGGACTTACCTTAAATGGATTGCCACAAGACTTTCACTTGCCCTAAGCGGTAACTTAGTAAGAGAATTTAAATCACATAACGTCCTCTTAGAACACGCTCTAAGCGTCCCTATTTAATATTTTGTCTCGTATTCTAATCACACTATCACAGTGAATGTCAAGTCAAGTGTCAATCTTCGAGCAGGGCTAAGTTTTTCTACTTGGACCTGAAACAATTTTTTTGGGTTCCGTAGTCCTTTTTTTTTAACGATGAGGAATCCCTTGACGGACCGTACCGTGCGCTGGCGAGGCGCACGGCGTGTGTGGGACTCACCTGGCGCGGGATACAGTGCCGGTCCTACCCACTAAAACTCGCCATGGAACCCTTATAGTTTCGTTATGTCCGTTTGTTTACCCGGTTTTGCTTGGAGACTGTTAGTACTAGAAAGCTCTAATATAAATTTGTGGAGATATGTATATCAATCACGCCGACAAAATGGTAGAATTAAATTTTGAAAAATATTTTTTAGGGTAGCTACATGTAACCTGGGGATGTTTTTTTTTCATCGTCTACCCTATAGTCTGGGGTGTCGTTAAATAGGTTCTTTAAAATTATTTATAGGTTCCTAAGACTATTTTTCGATTTAGGGATCCGTTTGCGAAATATTGAACTTTAAAGTGCTAATTTTTGTTCGAGTAGGGCGTCCCGTCCTTCGTATTGGCTCGAAAAACCTGGAAAAATTCATGATAATAGTACTTTTGATGAACTTTTAAGAAAAATTATACCGGTTAAGGTAGATTTGTTAGTTTTTAAGATTTATAGTCGTTCAACTTTGGTTAAAAATTAAAAAAATCTAGTTTTAGTTAAGTTTAAAAATACTTATTCCGAATATTTATACAGTATCGCCGAACCCCTATACGTACGACGATACGATATTATGTGGATTGGATTTGGATTGGATTGGATATATTTTATGAAAATAACATTTAATTGATGAAAATAATATTAACACGTTTTTTTTCTATACTAAGTAAATAAAATATTATGTTTTAATATGATGCATTATTTTCTCTCTAATGTGTATGAATTGTTCTTTGCGATCCTCGTACTATTATTTACTGTATTTTTTCATTTTATGCAGAGAAAGATTGAAATAGCACAAAAAATACATATTAAATGCGGCAAATAACAGGTTATTTAACAGTAACAGTTAACGCAACTTTTGGTTGGGCGATTCTCTGTAAACGCTTAAATTACTTTCCTGTGGTTTTTTAATAATATCTTTTGCATTACAAGTTAAAGATTCAAGTATTTTTTATTTATTGCAATAGGTTTACCTATCCACTATATTAATTATAGATTATTTTTTCATATTTTGAAAACTGTATTATATGAGATCTGTCATATCTAGGGTTACCAACTTTTTTTCTACCAAATACAATATTTTCGAAGCTACCTAGTTACCTTTTAAAATATAGTAGATGGCCAAAAAATTGAAAAGTATACTATATTTGTATATGATTAAAATATTGACTTTAATTTTTGGAAGGAATGTTTTTTTGCTGCTCTATCCCTTTATGTTTTTTTAAGAAAGCCTTTACTGAAAATATCTGCTTTAAGCACAATATAGTAGTTTCGCCTACTAAATTTTGTTTTAGAAATATAGTATTTGATCACCGAATATAGTAGGAAACTATATTATATAGTAGGGTTGGAAACTCTAGTCATATCCTATATGATGATAATGAAATTATATATCACATACAAATAACAATATAGACATAAATTGTGATCCAATGACAAACATCTAGCCACTTTTTTGCTAACTTTGCTCCCCCATTCTCTGACCTCGATGATTTAGTCAGCTTAGGAAATTAATTTATTTGGTACAATCAGTCTTTTAGCGATGTATGATGCGATGGATGAGTCACCGAATGAAGTCAATTTATAAGATTTAATATGTACTATATAAGTAGGTAAGTGTTTCTACGTAGGTACTCTACGTCGAATGAATAAAACGTTTCAATCTTTGATAATATTTAGATAATGTCTGTCTGACGTAATATTGAAATTATGTTTCTTCTCTTCTTGAAATCAAAGTCAAAGCAAGCACACGCGTAAGCTATAATCAACCACATAATCGTTATTTTCTTTGATATTGCGAAAATGGTAGAACCATTTTTATCTCCCAGAGGATGACTATAAAAAGAAATATTTTTAAATGCACAGCAAATAACTGATTACCCATCAAGTTATTTACAGCAAGTAAATACTTTTTACATCAAAATAATTATTTTACTGCAAACAAAACATTTGTTGAACAAAACTAGAGCTGAAAATAATTCAGAAATATGATTTTCATATCAGATATACTGATTGCACAGCAAATATACTGTACCCCTAGCACGAACCAATATCGAATTCGTATCGTTTGCGAGTCCGATATGTCATTGTCAAATATGTACTGATTTTTAGTTCTCGTTATGTACTTTGTGCCACTGCTTTTCAAGTTTCCATACAAAATTTGACAATGACATTTCGGTATGCAAACTATTCGAATTCGATAATGGTTCGTGCTAGGGGTACTGATTGCACAGCAAATATACCGATTGCATAGAAAATTAACCAGGACTTCGACGCAAAATACTCACACTCATAACAAAACAACTATTTTTGCAGCAGGTTTCCCATTAAGCATTTCAAAACTTGCTCAACATTGGGACACTTTTGATGGTTATAAAAATAAAGCGAGTGTGCTTATGATCACACGACTGAAGTGAAACTTCTTTAGCTCCAATGATCTGAAAATCATAAACTTAACCTGAAGATTTGTTGATAGGAAAAGAAACCACCAATCCGCACTGGGTCCGTTATCACCCCCCAATCCCATTGAAAAATATAATGACTCACTCATATTTTACAACTTCAATGCCTAATCAACTCAATTCAACTTGCCACATACAACACCAAAGAATTTTAAACACATTGCAATGAAAATAACATGCTCTACCCACGGTTCACCTAGGTGTACCAAAGGAAATTTTTTTCCCCGTAGTTCACCTCAAAATTTGGTATGGTGTATTTTTCTTTTTTCCCGTGGTTTACCCACCTACACATTGATACTTAGTTTTCAGAATGCCCTGTCGTAAGTCCAACCACAAAAGTGGGAAAATAAAAAACTGATAATACGCGTGGAACTTTTTCTAGTTATATTTTGTTTAGATTTAAACATCAAGCAGTTACATACTAAAAAAATATAAATTATAACTGTAATTGCTATTTCTTCTATCAAATGTTTAATACTTGTAAAAGTATTCATTTGACATTGTGGGTTACCTACCTATAATGCGAAGAGATGGCGCTGCCTTGCAGCTTAATAATGGCTAGAACAATTTAGACGCGGCCATCAGGGCCGTGGTAGCATAATTGGTCAGTGCATTCGCCCGGATAGCGAAGGGTGCGGGTTCGAGTCCCGTCTGCTGCCTGGTCCGCATGGAATTTTTCTAGTTATATTTTCTTTAGATAATACAATTTCAAAATTCCCGTTATGTCGCATATAAAAAAGCAATATACTTATTATGCACACCAATAGTTATTTATGCAACTGTTGTATAATGAGGGGTATTAAAACTCGAATGTGGGTTAGCACACGAGGCGTAGCCGAGTTTTAATACCTAATTATGAACAGTTGCATAAAATACTTTATCCACACCTATGCCATGAATCCTCTATAAAAGAATCTTAAACCATGGGGCGTTATGAGAATTCCAAATTCATCAAGAGTTTCAGCGCTGTGGTAGTGAAACGCTCGTGAATGAAAATGTTTTTTTTTTTATTTCATATTACCAAGCACCGATCACTGAAAATTGTGGCTATCTGATGAATAAGACCTTAGCACGGAAGACATTTAAAAAGCTAAGGAGCGTTATATGAATTTTATATTAAAAACATTATAACACCCAAATGGGTGTGATAATGTTTGTTAAAGGCACCCTGCGCGGCGTGGCCGCTCCCGCGACAACACAGGCCGTCAGACAGCACCTTTCTCTTTAAAATAATAATAATTACTTTCCTTAAAACAGTCATCATTACGAACGTACGTATAAATATAAAAGTTATTTTTTATTTCGTTTATTTCGTACCTTATTTATAAATTTAATTAAAAAAATCCCAATCGGTCTATTTTACTACGATATTTTTTCCCATGGTATTCTGGCCCACACATTCGGGCAACTTTATCACTGGCGTTTCTACTCCGTGTAATGTGGGCCGGCGGACCAGAAGCCAGTTGCCTGCTAAGCTAAATCCGTTAAGATTAATTTATTACATTCATTATGTAGGTAGGTAGAAAGGAATAAACGTAAAAAAGATTATTAGAATTATGAGTACCGATAACAAGTATAACAAATAAATGAATGACTAGATAAATTATACATATGCATCAATAGGGAATCTCCTTTGTATTGTTTTCAGGTCATACAGACGATTTCAACCACATGATAGAGAACCTGTTGGAGCGATACCCTAGTACCAAGATAATACTAGTTGGGTTCAGCCTCGGCGGTAATTTGATTACGAAATACCTCGGCGAGGATCGGAAGCGGCCCACCAACATCATCGCAGGCATTTCCATATGTCAGGGATACAACGCTATTGAGTAAGTCTTATAATAATTTATCGAATTAGCGGATTTAAATAAAGACCGGTTGGTGCAATGGCAACGCTTCTACATTTGCTCCAAAGGTCCTAGATTCGGCATTTATTTGGGTACATAGCAAAGATTATTTTTTCTTAATCTTTCCTTAGTTTGGGTTGAATTTTTATGTGAGTGATCCTAAATGTATTATTTGTTGCTACAAATGATTCATGATGATTCGAAACTATACGAAATTCTAGAAACAAACTACTAAATAAAAGAGGCACACACATATGCATTTTACGCCATCGTGTCCTGTGTTAGAAGTAACAAATCTTAAGAAGATAAAGGAAAACGGTCAAAGAAGTTAGTTATCTGTCATCTTTACACGATAACTGCTTGATTTACGATCTCGAGATTGAACTATTCTAGTTACTATCGAAATCGTAAGCAAGATTAATAAATCTTTTCCGAAGTTGCAGACTGTACCGTTGCAGTATTACTATAGAAACTTATTGCAGTATCGTAGCGTAGTAGTCAAATAATATGACTTCACAGTAATTTATCGGAATCTTCTCGAATCCGTAGGCATGGTGATAAATCTATTCTAGGTTTATTTTATTTATTAATTCTTTATTGCCTTTACAATGCAAATGGCGGACTTAATGCTAGCATGGCATTCTCTTCCAGTCAACTGGAAAGAAGGTGCAGAGAAAATGAAACGGTAGACAACGAACAGAGTAACATCAAACATTGATAAAAACGAAGTTAAATAGCATTAATTACTTATACCTATCCATACATGCATATATAAATATACATTATAGCAACATATATGATACATACAAATATATACATACATAATTATCTACCAATAATATTGACGGCCGCCGTGGCCGAGTGGTTTGTCACCGGGTTTCATGGTGTCGCCGACTCGATATATGTACAGTATATATATTCTATCCGTTACTCTAGCATCCCATAACCCAAGCCTTACAGTGCTTACTTTGGGGCTAGGCTAATTGGTGTGAGTGTTGGAAATATTTATTTATTATGTTAAAAAATATAGAGTGTCTGATTTTAGGTTTGCTTACCATTAAATGATCCGGTTTCATTATCGCAAATGTATCGCAATCAGAGTTCAGGGTATGACCCCCGTTCTGATAGATAACGGCCTAGAACGTACATAGAATTGATATTGAGGTTCAGCGATAAAGATACATAGAATAAGTATAGCCACGGATAAAAATAACTAATAGAGACTAGAACGATGTAGGAACTGTAGAAGATAACAGGGCATACACTGCGCCTAATTTGTGATTGCGCTACAAATACATCTTTTATTGTTAAACAATTACTTTATCACTACAAAAAGTTAGACATGCGTTAAAAATTTGCCTAAACAAGGTTTAAAACAGTGCCTAACTTTTTGTAGTAAGATCGTTAAGGTCTTTTAATGTCAAATCGTGTCGATTTACTATCCAGTTGCAATAATCAACCTCCAGTTAAATATAAGGATAATCTGGTTCATTACCAAAAAATAGGTATTAGTTATATGTAAATAATAAAAATATCTAGACAACGAAGCTCTAATAGGTTTATCTCTTAGTTACTGAAGTATGATCATTGAAAAACAGGCCGTTAAACGTATTTGACTGTAACATGTATACATTTTTGCCACATTATTTTTCAATGCTCCATATCACATCTTCGCACAGTTTTGCCCTTGATATTTCTTCAACGTTTTGTATCTAATATAAATAATAATAATAAATGACTAAATATAAGCGATATTTCATAATACTCGCAACCACATTACAAGGCAAAGTGTCGAAAATATTTTAAAATGAAAATAAATCATCATTAATATTAATGTGTTATTTAGCCCTTCGTGTTATTTAATAATTATTTTATTAAGTCCTGTATTAATTACCCACCTTCTTTTAATATGTCACCTCACACATTTCACCCAGTTATCCATTCTAACTTTTATGGAATAAAGTACACTTTAATCTTTAATATAAGAATGACTCCGTATTTCCTTCCCTTGGTCACGCTTTTGTATAAGAAAAATAAGAATGTTGCGCGAAACTCAAGTTAATGGGGACGAAGTTGCGGGAGGAACCTAATTTAATATGTCAATATTTTGTGTATTTTATTTTACACACGACCGAGAGTCAGAATTACGGAGCTTATGATAAGGGAAAAGCAGCATATTAAGTCACAATGAATGATAGGTAAAGATAACTTGAAATTCAGTTTCGATTATGTCGTTCAGGATGAAGTGATAATATTTTTTCAATTAGAGAATTATGCTCGATAAGATATTTATATGACGCTATCAACTTTTAATTGCTTCGTCAATGAAATAAACCGCTTACGTCGCGGTCCGTTGCGACGCCTGATTTTAATACGAATTATACACGTAAAGTTGATGTATGCACTGCAATATTTTTTTAATTGACCTGCTTACTATTTATATTGTTATTCAATCATGCATAAATGGATAAACAGATTTTGAGGTAGGTATTCGGCACACATGAGGACACTTTTTAGACCAGAAGAAAATAAAATTCCCTTGTGTTTTTCAAAAAACTAATTGAAGGTCTTATTGGTCCTCCAGTAGATTTTTTGGCACTGTAATTCCCATTCATGGAAGCAAATACCCTAAAAATATAATGCTTTTCTCGACTGTGTTCTTATTCCATAAGTATATAAATGATGTTGCTTTAGTTTTTGTTACAGACGTCGATTAATTCTTTTTGGTACGGTCCATTGTAAGTGTCATTATACTGATAAAGAGAACATTCAGGTGCAAGAAACTCATCAGCATTTAAAACCATTTATCTAATCAACATTAACAACACTGACTACCTACCAACAATGTGTCACATTCACACAAATCACCTAAGTATTTATTTATCCTTACGGTATTGTTATACTGGATAGGTTCAGTCGTTCCCAATGTAGTATAATATATAGATGGGTTATACTTTACAGAATATCATTCTGTATTTAAGGGCAATGAAGTGATTATAGATTTGTACATTCATAAGCAGTTTTTTGCTTATTACTGTACGCTTACCTTGCGTACCATATGCCTCTGTTTCATATTTATTGGACCATACTAATATTTCTTAAGTAGAACGTTGTTTCAATATGATGTTGCCGACCGGCGCTGTGTTGCGTACATTAATTGGACCTAAATGTCTTTTTTCAGCACTATGGTGTATCTTCTGCAGTGGCAGAATTTCCGCCGTTTCTACTTGTACATAATGACAGATAACTATCGTAATTTAATAACGAGACACAAGAGAATGCTCCTTAATCCAGAGATGAAGAGCAGACACTCGTTGGACGAAAAAATGATCGTTTCAGCTGGTACTTTGCCCGATTTAGACGAAGCATACTCAAGGTAGGTAACTTATTGTGTTATCGGCCGCAACCAGAGATAGATTTGAAATTTAAAGTCGATCAGTCTTTGGAACAAAGAGGAAGAAAATAGAGGAAATAGAATTATTCAACTAAATATTGGGTCTAATTCTGGCATGATTTCATGAAACAAAATTTTATACTATTTAGTATTTTCTTATTATGCCTACAGATAATAAAAGGGAGAGACTGATGATGACATGATTCTCTAAACTTAAAATTGATTTTAACAACGATCATTATAGGACATGATAAGGATACTTATACTATTATCAAATTTTGCTTTTGAGAATCAGGCCCACTTCATGATAACTTTTATCCGAAAATTGTTTAATTTTTCCAACTAATACCGTCCGGATTTAAACTTAATCCTTCTGGCTCGATATATCACGCTTTACTTAGCATATTGTCAACCGCTACAGTTGATTTGTGGTTGCGAAAAGTTTTAAGTAGGTACTTATGTAATTAAAGTTTGATTATTTTTTCACTACAGAAAAGTTTACGGGTTCGAATCTGTTGCGGATCTATACAAATGGAGTTCGTCAGCGTTCTATTTGGACAATATAAAAACCCCGATGATATTCATAAATGCTCGCGATGACCCCATAGTTCCCGAACCGCTGTTACCGATTATTCGTGAATTTGTCAGTAAGTATTTTTAATTTTTATTCAGTATTATATAAATCTGTTTCTATAGGTAGGTACGTGCCCAATAATCACAAAGTTTTATTGACCGATCAGTACTCTTTAGAACATTAACATTTCATTGTTTCATTGGATATTTTATCCAGAATTTGCAATTATAGCAAAGCAATAATAAGTACTTATATACATACAATGTATTTCAATGTTCTACTTGAGCTATTTCATTGTTATCGATAGTTTAATATTTTATTATCAAAGGGATAGGTTTTATTCCTCGATGGGTGAAGAATAAGTTGAGTCGAATCTGGGTAATTTTATTGATATAAGCATTACTTTTAGACAACGATACTGCCAATTTTCATGTATCTCATATTAATGCTAATTGCACGAAAGTACCAGTGATAAATAACCAATGCACTTACTATATAAATAACAATGAATCGGATACACATGTTTACGATGAACATGCGAAGTCGAAAAACCCCAGGACCTTTGGCACATACTGAAAACGGCATGTCTATAAATGCTAGTCGCAAAGTTTACGTAAACTATCGTGTATCAGACTTATTTAATACTATGTCTGTGAATGAAACGCTCTGAAACGGGTTTCATAGTGCGTGTATCATAATTTTACATTTATTATTGACGCTGTTCTAACCATTATATAAACATGAGTCTGTAATTCTTACGATGTCAAATAAAATAATGTTGCAAATATGCTTTTACTACAGAGTTGCATGTGATTTTATAAAGAAAATGTGGTCAATTACTCGGAGAAACAAAATAAATGCCTCCATTTCGTGCACAGTCAATCGTTTTCAATTAAGAGCCCTTTCACATTTTTTTGTAAATAATCGTAATTTTTGAGCGCCACGTTTACTCTCTTAGAAAAGCTTTTGACTATTTCCAATAGAAGTAAACAGTAGATTTATTCTTCCTATTGTAAGTTAATGTAGAATATTTTCAAATACTATTTTTGTACTGATCGTTCTACTGCAGCTAGTTTACGAAAAAAACGATAATATGCACAACTTCAAACGCCACAATCTCTCAATAATGTTCAAAATAAATTAGATCAAATTAAATACTACGACATCAGAAATATGTTTTTGTTGTAACTAGTGTTTCCAGGTCCGATTTGTTTTCAATCGGTACGTGAGGTCAAAACAATTTGGATTCAGGGTTGCTGATCGGGACAGTAAACAAAAAACAGGGGGTTTTGAAGTCTGGGTTTATTTAATTGCGTTTTAAACTACTAGTGCAAGTATAGTATTATATTAATTACCTTAATTTAAAATTTTCATTAATCGGGACATTTAACGTCCTCATCAGGTACAAATCGGGACGCGTCCCCAGACCCCTGAAAATCGGGACACATGGCAACACTAGTTGTAACATAATGTATTAGAATTTTGATTTTCCATCTCATTAATTATCAAAAAAAAAACATCTAACCTCCGTGAGTTCTCCCAAAAAATAATGCAGGTTTACCTTGTATTTTGATATTGAATTAAATAGAATTACTATCAAAAATTTTCATAAAACTAATCTACCATCATTGAACTACTGAAATATCGGTATATATTTTAATAATTAGTTCATTAATCATTATTTTATAAGACTCGAAATATCACCCGTAAAATGCAATATATTCTAGTGCAAATCTATCTACGCGCCGATCAGTACGGCAGCGGCGCAATTTTATAAAAGGGCTCTTAAATAACCGACGAGAATCAAAGCAAAGCCTTATCTGAAACATTAACAATATACGCGATTTAAAACCCGTTTCAGATTATTTTATATTGAATGCATAAATATATATTGTTTTGTTATGCAAAGCTATTCTGCCAGCAGGTACTGCAACATGATAACCGCAATTATAGCTATAATTTACAGAGATTATTGACATTAACTTTCGAAACATAATAGCGTTTAATATTATTGGCGTATTCTATAGCGGCTTGAGGGTTTTAAATAGCGAGATTGCACGTTTCATTTTTTAAATCACAAATAAATATTTCGTGAAACATATATGAAATTACTGAAGCATCTAATCTGTTACCTTTGCATGGAATGCGAGAAACAACCCACTTAGAAAAAAAAGTTTAGATGATTCATACAATTCTCGCTATTTTGAATCTCTGCCTTGTATTATGAAATGCAAAATCTGATGAAACTTGGAAGGTCATTCTTGGGTCCTTTAAAGGTACCTATGTATATGCTTAATTGGCATTGCCAATGTTTGACAGTTTCCTTACGTCGAGAGAACACTGTATATTATCTTAATACTGTAATCATACTACGGGGCTTGGGTTTTCTAACCAATAGTGCATAACGACCTCCGTGGTGTAAATGGTCTGTGACACCGGTTTTCAAGGTGTCGCTTATTCAGAGGTCCTGGGTTGGAATCCCGGTGGGATAAATGTTTGTATGATGAATACGAGTATTTGTAGGCACGTTAAGCCGTTATTACCGCCTGCGTTTGGGGCCCTCGTAGTGAGTCATAACCCAATCTCCCTATTCCAATCCATAGGGAAGGCCTGTGCCCTAGCTATGGGAACAATAATAGGCTGATGATGCATCATACTGTGAATTCATGGTTGTGTTGTATATATTTCTACAAAAATATTTATATGTTTATGACTATAATATGTATATCCGTTATCCTAGCATCCTGTAATACAAGCTTTGCAGCGTTTACTTTGAGAATAGGCATATCAGTGTGTTAAGGTGACGATTCACCTGTCTATTCGTATTTGCTATTTGCCATTTTGACAGCAGGTTGTCCTTTTCGTACTCTATAGAGAGTGAAAAAGAGAGACTGTTGTCAAGTTAACAAATAGCAAGTATGAATAGCCAAGTAAAGTGCCAACATTATACATAATTATTTGTATATCTATTAATATTTATTTCAGGCTCGAATGATAAAGCAATGTACCTAGAGTTGGCGCACGGTGGCCACCTCGGTTTCTACGAGGGCGGCCTACTGTTCGCCAATCCTGTAAACTGGCTCGACCGCGCGCTGGTCGCGTTAGCTGGGGGCTTACTCATGGCCCACAATAAGTGCTCGCAGAAAACCGCCCCGGAACCAATAGACTGCCCAAACACGGACGACGAGCCAGATCTCATCAAACCCGCCACCATTGTATACCGCGACCCGTTGGATAAAGCATACAAACTTTGAATTTACTAACCGAAACACGTTAGACTCGCGATCCGGATCCCGGAATTCAGCGCACTGTAATCCGACACAATTCGGAACTATAGAGGGTGTATTGTTTTAAACTTTCATGGTCACTAACATTATAGCTATTAACGCGATCTGATACTGTGAGTATGGTGTGTCGGGAACAAGTGCGAGTGAATAGTGAGAATGTGACCAGTGGTAGAGGTATCGAACGCAATAAAAGACGACGTAAGAGAGTAGACCGATATGTTTGCCAATAACATCTACCCGCAATTACTTCAGTTACTTCGTGATCATGGCGCTTGCAACAGTGCAGAAATATCTGAGACTCATAAAAAACAAGGTACATGGTAACAATCCCGTTAATAGCTATAGCTATAGGGTGGTCTTAAAGCCGCCATACGCGAGTAGTTTGAAGCGGTCTGGGTGGACAGCTTCAAGCTGCGGCCGCCTTTTACTACAGTCTTCTATGTACAATTGTAGCAACTGCTTTTGTGGTTAACAGCTCGGTCAAATGGCAGTTTCAAGCTGTTGACACTGACTGCTCGAGTAGTTCGTCTATGGCCGCCCTTAGGCAGTAGGTACTCTAAAATCTGCAAAACATTTGTCGGATTCCCGCGAGTCTACTGTACTTTAAAATTTAGAATTTTTAATCGGGTTAGTTTTGTGGTTAAGACCATCAATGCTTCACTGGTAGGGTAGTTAAAGGATAAGGTAAGGTGCGCCAGCTGCTATCTTCATCAATAAAACTTTTAATTTAGTAACTAACAGACAGGGTAGATTCGAAAAGTTGCTGGCAATCTATAACGTTTTTGAAGTTTTTATGCTAGCACTTCACATGACACAATTCTTCTTGCTACATTTATACAAATTGGACTCAGTCTCTCCCTTATCATGCTTTATGGGAATGAAAAGAGTCTTCCCACAAATTCACTAATAGCAATAGTCATGAGAAGTGCTAGAATAACACCTTACCAATGTCAAATGAGGCGTCAACGGCTCTTTTTTTAAGTATATGATTTATATTTAATGTTCTGCTATGAAAATTGCAGCGTGAAGCTATTATAATTATATAGGCACCAATATTAACGAAACTAACGAATCAGTGTATTATTATAAGGAATTGTACTAATGATGACTCGCAAAATATGTATTATATTATAAACTAACGTATATGTTCAAAATTATGTATTCCAGTACTTAACAAAAAAAATCTGTATAAAACTAAAGAGCGGTATTCAATTGTGCAATATAAACTTGGAGTTAAAATGAGTTGAGAGATATGTATGCACATGCCGGCTCATTGTGCACATTTTGTATAACAAAAAAAAACAATAGTAATTATATCATAGTTGTTAGTTATTTTAGCACAAATTCTGAAATAGTACTACAGTAGTATTAAAATTCCAGTGTATTTTGAAAGTTTTAAGATACTTTGCCCAAATTTTTTTTGTCATAATATGTTTTTGCAATTTCTGATAAACAAGTTAAATTTAGGCAGTGATCGAGATGAAAATGAAAATGCTACTGTGTATTTTTTCTGTGAATTTAGTATGTATATTGCTTATTAGCACAAGTGGTAACTAATTTAAATAGTTGACGCAGACCTCATTGAATGTCATTTACAAACGATTTTTCCTACACCGATGGTGCTTACGAATTTTGTAATTGAAACTCATTATTTATTATGCTAATTTCACAGCTGTTATGCTATAGTGTGTACACTAATCTGCCAATTTTAGGCGATAATCGGTTGCATTCTAGTAGTATGTATAGTATTCTGTCATATTCGAGGTAAAGCCGAGCTATTTTCATCTTGAAGACCAATTTCTACTGTACCAATGACGGAATACCTTACAAAGTGAAATGTTCATGTTTGTTTATCGTCGACAACAACGTCTCTGTCAATTGTTTTGTGCACTGAAAATTTGTATAGATGTAATAATGTGATTTTTGTGAGATTTGCCAGCTTACAGTTGTGTTCACTGTTTAGGTAACATTAAAAGTATTATTTGTGAGTATAGGTAGGTACTTGCCATGTGCGATCAGTGTACTTATATTAACATCATTCCAAATTTTCATAAAAGTATGATAAGTGCGTTTGGTATTGGTGAAGTAATTGGGATTTCATACTTTTAAAGAAGATACGAGACAATAATCAGGTCCATGCAAAACTATTTCATATGTATATAAAGAATGCCAAAAATGCCATGTATTGACAAAACAACGATCTTAAAAATTAATATAGTGAATGAATGTTGTATCTAGCCTAGAAAAAGAAGAAGAGAGTGAATGGATTTTGAATTGTCCAATACAGACTTTCTGAAGTCGTTTGAGGCTATCACATGAATTCTTTAATGAAATTCAAAAGCAACGATGAGAGAGATGCCAATGAAAGTTTCATATTATAGCGATGTTTCGAAATATATTAGGCTATCCAGCCTTCGTTTTGACGGCGTTGAGTCATGGACCATGATCATGAACTCGAGTGTTTATCATCTTTCCATTTTCCAAATTAATTGATTTTATCTGAAGTGGGTATTTAGGTACAACTCGATTCTTTTAATGCAATTCTGAAAATCTTTAGCCTGGAAACTTATCATCGTTGAATGTTTAGTCCAAAGGTCTTTTTTTATAAAACAAACATTCCGAAATAACAAAAAAATAAAGTGATTTAAAGAGAAATCGATTTTTTTATCCCAAAGATTAAAGTCTTGAATTTGTATTCGAGTAAGATGGTTTGTAGGTTATCATCCGACAAGATTCAGATTATTCGAATAAAGCTTGACCAGAAAAATTATAAAACCGGACCGAGGGCGCTTCAGTCGCTTTTTAGACTAAAACTGATCACGCAATTAAATGACCGCGTGGATATCAGAAAATAACAGTATTTGCTGCGAAACCACAAGTCAACAAAAGTTTCAGCTGAATTGAACGAAGCGCGTTTCAATATAGGGCGTAATTTCAATTAAATTTTATTTATGACCCTTGCGGATTTGAGAATGAAACGAAACACGAGCCTTAGTGTCGCTCTGTATAGCATATAGCGACATCCCTTTCTAACTGTACTCAAGTAAAGATCTTAGTTGTCATTCTGTAATAAGAGTCAAATATTTTAGGGTGATTGCCACATCTGCGAGTAGCGTACATACATGGATTTTTAAAATTAAATGCTTACTTACGTTTTTTACCTTTTATTTTTCTGGTCGGGCTTTTTAGATACCTTCAGATAGATACCTTCTCACATTGTTTCATTACCTACTTATATTTCATGTATCTTCTAACATGAGTTTTTAAGAAAGCAGGATTGTAGTGCAATAAGAAATTGTAAATAAAAATGTGAAAAACGAATTTTGATGTTGTGCTTAAACATTCAATAAGTATTATTTATTTTAATCGGAATACCTTAAACTTACCTTAATAAGTAACTGTATTTGGAAGCGGTCTTCTCCGTTAAGGATAGTTTAAGAAGGGTGGAGCGCCCGCCTGGGGATGAAACATCCACTTACCGCAATGAAATATCACTACCTTTTTGGTTTTGTTTCTGGCTGTAAAATTTTCAAGGGGTCTCGTAGGAGGGGATTAAGTTCATACTGGCAAGGTAAGGCTGGCTAAAGCGGGTGGTGGAGTAATTGCTGCCATCTACACAAAAAAACATTACACCACTGATTAAGCAAGAATTGTACACGCCTGATTGCTAATATGCGTGCCCTTTGAGGGGCCACAGTGGAAAACGTAGGTTTCGATATTAAAGATTTTCATTTTATAAGAGTTGGGCCGAGATATTTCTCTTGAATACGTTTTTGATCGTTTCGACTGAGGGTCCACTTACTAGCCTTTTATTCTGTACTGGTAGAATAAATAAACCACGTACTCGCAGGGTAGTATTTTGACTACTTCTGCTAAATTTTAAGGCTTGCCAAAGAAACAGCTTTAACTACAAATTTGTAGCAGTAGAGGAATTTTGAACACGTAAGAACTGAGGTCCCATCTTCCGATTGGATTGTCTTTATTTGTAGTCACTCAAATTTTTGTACGTAGTTCTACTAATTACCTTCTAAATATTATCATTCATCAAAATTATTTAAATTGGTCAGATACAGTAATATGAAAATTGAGGCTTTTCGTCTGAGAACCCGATTCGGTGAGTCGCAGCGTTCGACTTACAACAGCTACAAATTTATCCTTCTGGCTACGATTTTTTTAAATTATTATATTAAGTATATTAAAATCAATGTATGTTAATTCCTCCTACGTTTCCCACTGTGGCCCCTCGGAGGGCACTCACATTGTTTGCTAGCATATTCCTCAATGCCGTCTATTGTATACATAATACTAGTTCTTGAAAACAATTTCTATTCCGAACCCCTTAGAAGTAACCTATCTTAAATGTTATAATGCGACTGAAAATAAGTGGCGATAGTTATACGAATATTGTAAATCTGAGCTAGTCTCTTATAGGAGAAAGCAAGTGGGAGATTAACTAACGCAGATTATGCTGATGAAATGACAATGTAAAATGAAGCCGCGTCGGTTTTAGGATGCGGTTGTATGAATGCGGCCTTTGCTTCTCAGCGTGCCTTGTGTTAATGAATTTAGGAGGGCTAATTAAAATTATATAAAAGCGCAAAACTTCTATATGCGTTATAGTGGAGTTAATTTATGTTCAAATGTTATCGGCAAAATTTATGTATTGTTTAACTTTTAATCAATATATTACTTTGGTTTTATATTCTGATCTTTTCTTGTACCTACTAATAATTTGAAAATACCGCATTGTCAAACTGGTGTTCTTATATTTTCCAGTTGTTTTATCTAACGAGTATTACATATTATTTACAGATGGTCAAGCAGTCTTAAAGAATATTGCAAACCAAAACAAAAGAGCGGGCATATAATTATAAAAAAAAATAGTCCCTTGTAAAATTATGTACCCTTAGCATGATTTAATATCGAATTCGTAACATTTGCGAGTCTGTCATTGTCAAATGTGTACTGATTTTTAGTTCTCGTTACGTACTTTGTGGCGTTGTTGTTCAAGTTTCCATACAAAATTTGACATTGACATTTTCGACTCGGAAACGTCAAGAATTAGATATTGGTTCGTGCTAAGGTTACAGATTTGACTTATTCTAAGCTGTCGTATAGAGGACTACATAATAATATCCGCATAGATACAGTCAGCTTCATAAAAATTTGAGGTGACACCTCGCAAATACATGTTAAGAGCAAAGGTTCAATTATATCTTTGCGTTTAAAGTTATCTAAATATTGTTTACAACCAACCAGTCATATTTCTTTAGATCAAAAGTTTCATATTATGCACCATGACAAGGATCTTATATAATTTATGTACGCTTCGTAAATGGGTATTATTATCTAAGCGTCCAGAGCACTCGTAAATATCTTTAGTATCTTATAGTTTATTTTAACATCGTAAATTAAGGGTCTTTTTAGTCTTTTAATTACGTTGGTGTATTTGCGTTTTTATTTATGGTGTTATTTTAATATTTAAATAGAATAGATTTATAAATCAAGTCGTAAAGCATTTGTTGTCGATTAACATTAAAATACGGTCCTCATATTTTGCACACTCAACTCCATCCTGCAGATGCATATGGAAAAAACCCACCATAACATTGGTATTAGTTTGTTTGGTCTAGTACCAGGGCAATATAAATCTGGTACAAGAAGATATTTATTTCGTAATATTTTCTGCATTTTGCTTCCATAATAAAATTAGAATAGAGAACATATGCAATAGGAAATATCTAAAAATAACAAGAACCGTAAATACCACTATTTTTATAAATTATTTATTAGTGTTTACTTTTCTCTACTACCTTTGAGTGCTTTGATACAATGGAATAGTTTTTCGCGAATATATACTTCCAGACAAATGTATTGGCTCACCCAGCATTTTAAGTTTTAGCTAGCAGAAAAAAAGTTACATAGAGCAAAAAAATTTTACGCAGTTTGGAAACTGATTTATTAACCATCTATTTCGTGTGTGTTTTTTGTATATTCAATTCTGCTCAACCTAACATATATTTTTGCTACAGATCGTAGAAACTTAAGTGGGCCGATAGATGTGTCCGGGAGTGTATAATTGGATCCCTTGATACATTTATAATATTCATCAATTGTGATGAATGTTATATAATGTATGCGTTTATATAAAATTGAACTTGTGTAGCTTAGATAATAATGATTAGTTTTCACACTACTATCTTCATGGAGCTGACTTTACTTGATATTGTGAAGATGGAAACGCAAATACGAAGGAATCAGACAAATCTGTGACAAAGTACAAGTTATTACGCAATACTGGTATGATAAATATAATGCCTAATGTGATATAAGTTTCATAATGCTTTTAATGTAAAGTTGTTTGTTTTGTCGCGTCGATTTTTATTTCTAAAGTACAAACGAATAAAAACCACTTTTTGAACGATTGTTGTGTGTTTTAAATATTTCATTATAACGACTTTGGAAATATATAAGTAAATGTTATTTTACTATGTATAAAATAAATATATGTATGCTAAAATAATACAACGCTTTTCAGTTTTATCCCATTCATGTTGAAATTATTCGTTACAAAAAGATTGATAAATAAGTATATTCTAAGTCATAATATAAAATTTTAAGAGACGGGTGAATTTACGCTGCCTTATTTACTAAGTTTATTCTAGGACTATCTTAAAATATTTTGTAAATGGAATATTATAATTTTGTTTGACAAAGCATAATTGAAATTAACATTTCCAACTTATAAATATTCGTTTGAGCATTGAAAATGAGATCGAATAATTAAAAACTGCAAAACTATTGTTTTATTGTATGGAGTTAATATAATACATAAGGAGGGGCCCAAATAACGAGTCGTCTGACTAGCTGTGCACTTATCATGTATCATGCGATGCAAACTTCATTGGTACTTTAAAACTATCCTGAATTGGATAAAATATAGTCTTGTTACCAAGGACTCTATATACTGTTGAAATTTCATCAACATTTTGATTAATATTTATTTAAGATTGAATGAGTACTTGTCAATATGTAAACCTATTAAATCCCTCTTTGGTTTGGCTTAACAACAGGATGCGAGACAAACTTTGATCCTGACTACAAAAAGAAGGAACTTCTCCTAAAAGGCTTTCTTAATATTAGGCAATCTCAAGTATTGTGATTACATACTAACCGTGAATTAAGAAGGAAAAATTGACTTCTTTTTTTAACAAATATTTTTTGTTGTCAATAAAAGACTCAATCACAATAATTAAATTGGTATCTAGTAGCCAATTGTGAATTGAGATATTTTTTTGGAGTGATATAGTATATTTATGTCAGTGCTAACCTGTTTAATGCGGCGCATTCTGTCGGTAAGTCAAAATTGTTATAACAAGTTTATTATTATTACCTTTATAATAGAAATATCAAAGTGTACTATGTAGTCCAACCCTTGCAAATATCGAGGGGATCCAATGGGGGTACTCCACTTGGCTATTCGTATTTATTACACTAGTTAACACGATTTTTGAGTCTTGAGTTCTTTGTACCAGATTTTGATTTCTTATACCTAATTAATGTAAGAAACAATATTTTTATTTAAAAAAGTTTGCTTTTGTAGCTATCAGAATGAAATTTTAAATTTCATGGAAAATTGCAAACTTTTTTGTGTAAGTTGTATATAACAAAAAAATAATCATTAATATATTTATTTAAAACTCTTTTATTTACTTTGGACAAATAAACCAAGTCTATGAATACATAAAATATATTGATTTAGTTTTAAAAAAAATATATTTTTAGCATATTTTATAATTTTTAGTCTAAATTTTTTCTAAAGTAAAAAAAATACTATGGGAATTTGGTATATCCTCATGTGACGCCCATATTTTATCTTGACTTCGAATAGAAAGTTAAAGTAAGCTTGATATGCTTAATTATGCCTTTTACCACTGGATAAACAACATTTTTTGACCTTAAATTTAATAAAATCTCCGGAAATAAATCAAACAGAGTCCACATAGTTTTTACTCATTTTGGAAGACATTTTACCGCTCATGACTCACAAATTACGTCGTTTCCCTTCAATAAAGATTTTTTTCATGCAACTGAGACATAATATAATGCTGAAAAGTAACCAAATGTACTTAAAATTTAAGAAGACGCAAATGATTTAATGATAGAATTTAAATACTGTTTATTTGTATTGAAACGAAAACAATAAAATCAGTACCCTTAGTATTAGTGCGAGCTCACGAAAACTAACATAGTTTTCGTAATTGTAAAACTCGTACTAAGGGTACAGGTCTATAATAAATAAAAGTATATCATACTAAATATTATAATTCTTTTTCTGACACTCTGAATGTGCTGCTGGTAGTGAAGTAAACAAAAATAACTTGGGAATTTTGTATATCGTCATGAGGCATCCATATTTTATCCTGAAGTCAAATAGGAAGTTAAAATTAAACTTCATATGTTTAATTAAGTCTTTAACTACAGGTTAAACCATTGTTATGACTCTAAATTTAAAAAAAATCTCCGGAAATAAAGCAAACAGGGTCAACGTAGTTTTCACTCATTTTTGAAGGTATTTACCGCTCTAGGCATTTACAAAATACGTCGTTTCTCTAAAAGGTGTGTACATGCACTGAGTGATTGCTCTACTACTTCCTATTCCATACCCAATATCCTTCTGCACTCCTTTCTTTTGCTTAATAAAAGCGGTAGATCCTCAGCCTTTTACAAAAGTTATACATATTTATTTATCATTGTATAAAGTACAAAAGCAAACTTTTTAAAATAAAAATTAGGTTTCTGGTTATTTTTCGATATAAATAATTAGACAATAGTCATTAAATAACAAACTCAATTTTTTTTTTGTTCACTTGTTATTAGAGGAGCTCGATGGCGTAAGTGGTAAGCGCGTTCCGCAGCGATCGTTGAATTAAAGCAACTTTCGCAGTGGTCGGTCATTGGATGGGTGACCGAAAATTTACTATCTCGAGCTCCTCCGTGCTTCGGAAGGCACGTTAAGCCGTTGGTCCCGGCTGCATCTGCAGTCGTTAGCACCCACCAACCCGCACTGGGCCCGCGTGGTGGGTCATGGCCCAATCTCCCTATTCCATCCATAGGGAAGCCTGTGCCCCAGCAGTGGGGACATTAATAGGCTGATGATGATGTGTTATTTGTAAACTTGATAATAGTCAGACCTTCTTATGCTTTATAAGGAATGAAAAGGACAGACTGGAATCAAGTTTACTATTTGTAAACTTGCAAAATAGCAAAGTTAATCTAAAGTACGTATCACATTTTACATTCTTCAATTTGAAATTCCATTTCGTCCAATCTACCGTGTTTGACATAAAAATGTGACATTTAATTTCATAATAAGTTTCTTTGATCTTAAGTGTAAGCAAGATCTTGTCATTTTTTACATAATGAATCATGAACAATATATTAAAAATGCAAACTCGCTATTTTAGACCCCTAGTCAGAAAATTGTAGTCAACAAAGTAAATACATCAGATTATCCATTATTGACAATTCCAATTCAACTTTGAACTGTTACATAATATACGTAAGGTCCAATATTGAATTTACTTTCGAATGTACAAAGGTGTATTCTGGAGTTAACTTTATAGATGACCAATGGCAAGTATGTATTCATTAAAATTTTCAATACCTTCAAGGAGAAGCGACGCGAAGTTATAGTACATATATAACAACAACTGAGCAGTCAATAAATTTTAGCCTGCCATGAATTTCGGTGTTAATTGCTTGACAATAGATCTCTAGTCAAGATTGTCGAGATTCTTTTATTTATTTGTAGCAAGGATAAGCGATTATCGCCCTAATGTGTTACGACCTCCACCATTGCACGTAGGTGATCGGGGGGTGTAAAATATGTTTTACATTATGATTTAATGAAATTTAAGTAGCCTTTTTACATTATACTCATACAAATCTAAGTCAAGTTTGACATTTCATATTAAAATTTGTAAAAACGAATCATTAAGAACAATATAAGTAGAAAACATGCAATATCCCTATTTTAGACCCCCTGATTCAAAAGTAATTTGATGTGCAAAACATAGAAAATTCAACCTTCAAATCATATAGAAACAGATCAATATTCCAAATACAAATATCACAACATTTTCCTTAATATAAATTTTCTTTACACATACATCTTATAATAATAAACATCAATAGTTAAGTATTTAACTAGATACAATTGAGAATTTACAATATAAAATAATTTTAATGCAAGATCTATACAAATAATGATCAGAAAATCATAATAAAAGAGAGCAATAATACATTTATCAATAATAATTATAAAATTAAAATGGACACTAAAATATGGCCACTGGGAGAGTAAATGCATACAAAAGCAGACACTTTCCATTATCCGTTCATAATATAACATTGCCAATTTTCCTTTTTACATATTTTAAATACCTGAGTAGATATTATCCTTAAGAAACATTATTATGACGTACCTAGGTCATTTCCTAAGCACATCAAATATTTTTATACAAAAAAAAACCTTTCGCATCCTAACTAGATTTATGGAACTGATAATGTACAGTCTTCTTTACATCGGTTTTTAAATCTGAGTATTTTCACAATAAATTAAAGCTTCATTACAAAATAGATATCATATAAATAAATTAGGTAAATGCAATTAAATCGTTACTTACAGTATCATATAGTCAGCATATAGATGTAGGATCTCCTTCCATAGTGCATGCTATATTATCTAATTTATGAGCTAAGTGCATTTTGTTTTCTAGTCCTAATATAATTTGTTCTCTATATTTACTGACATAAATGTACAACTCTTTTAAGGCAGACAGAGTATCAAACTCATTCAACTGTTCCACAGAGAGTTGTTGCATAGAAGTACTTAACTCTTGGTCTGTTACTTGAGGTAATTGAGAGACGGCCTGGTAAAACTGTATAACCATATCTCTGTAGGTGGGTAAGTCTTTTGCAAATAACAATTTATTGGAGGGAGAATCTTTACACAGTCGGTGTTCTGTTAGGGAGCAGGCATCCATGAATGTTTGAGCTATGACTGATAGTGAAGAATCTACAGTTGAAGTTTTGTTAATATCAAATATAAAATCTGGATTTTTTATGAGGTTGACCCAAAATCTTAAAGGTAAACTATTTGACTTCCATGCATGGACTACTTCTGGATTCATGATGCCATGTACTCTTGCGGCATCATCAAATAGGTCAAACAACCACTTAACTGCAGGAGGTAGCACTTCATTTACTGTAAGTATAGTACTAAAGAAATCATCAACAAACTTGTGCACAGTACCTTTAGTGGATAGGAGTCTAGTGAGGAATATTTCTGGTATAGCTTTGTGACTGTGCTCTGACGATTTGTTTACAATGTGCTGATATTCAATGGGTTTCACCAAATGATAATAATGCACATTCTGATCTGTAATGTCACTGTTATATACCCTAATATGGGAATTGGAGCAATATATTCCTGTGCAATTCTTGCAGGGTATTTTGTAGGCAGTGTTGAAACTATCATTTTGTCTAGATATCAATGACATAACTGCCGACTCTTTAACTCCATAATGAGCTAAAGTATTGAGTTTCCGCCAGCCATTCAAAGTTTTTGTTGTAAGATCCTCATCTTGGAGTGTCACATGTCCACCTCTGCCGTGTCGCCATTCTAAATCAACTTCGTGGACGGACGGTCGTAAAGAAAATGGCGTATTTTTAAACAATGCATCTAAAATTTTAGACTTTACTTGAGATATGCTATCACAGTCTAAAACTTTACATTGAACTTTATCATCAAAATCATCCTGTACTATATGCAATGTAATTATTTGATAATTAATTTGTTCTTTTAAAAGTTTTTCCTCTGATAAAGAATAACGTGCTTCATGTGTTATGGCATCAACTACACCTTTTTCAATTTGATGCTTAATGGCCTTGAAAAGCAAAAATAATGACGATCCTGCATAGTCCTTTAAATAGTAGTACATGCACAGGGCCATCCAGTTGGTTAACATTTTCTCAACTACACTTTCTGTTCTTCTCAACATAAGTTGAGGATGTTTATTGCAAACTGATTTATCAATTAGCCGTAACAATAGAGACTTTAATATGTCAGTAGCATATTCCATCTTCCCCATTAGAATTATCATCAAAAGAGAAGCAACATTTACTTTATCTCTTATATTGAAGGACTTTTGTGCCTCTAAAGTGTCTATAAATGACAACAGGAAACATTTATTATTCAAAAGTTGTTCAAATTGAATCATGGCTGCATCATAATTAGTTCTAGGAGCATTTATAAACTGACGCTGAACATTTAGTATGGGATGATCTGATACTCCTGGAAAAAATACTTTCATCACATAATTAACATGATCAAGTGTTGGAATACCTGAATGTTCCAAATCTGCTGCCAAATCTGACATATCAGTTTGCAATTCAGCAAATGCTAATTTACATTCTAACCGAACATTACTTTCAAGTGTATCCATTTGTATTTGTATTCTCTTGTACTCTCGTTCTGCTTTTGTACTTCGACGCCTGTACATGACCAAAACAATCATAAATATTAAGACCAGAAAAAATGTGCCCGCTGCTATACCTGCAATAGCCTCAGGTGGAAAATTGTAATTTCTCATGAGTTCATAATGTATGTAACCAATGGGAAATCTCAAATTTTTACCTACTTTCACCACCACCAAAGGTAAATTTATATCTGATATTTGTACTCCATTTTCATCAGTGTTAGGAGGTTGTACTTGAGGTGGTGTACAAAGAAGTTGTTGCATAGTAAGACTTGTAACATTACATGTTTGAGTACCAATAGTTACTACAACATCAGACTCATCACTAGCTCTTATTAAATTCTCACCTTCTATTACTAATGGATCACCACCCTTGTATGACTTTATCCTGTTAGGAAAGTGGTATACATTTGGATCTTCTACAAAGACCATATGTGTCCTTGGAGGGTTGAAATATTTTTCAAGGTCATGCATTGTTTCAACATTATCCATGACAAATCCAACTTTCATTGCTATTTGAGGTGTACTAGTTTGGGATTTTGTTGCTTGTAAAATTTCATGATATTTTTTGTTTATCGCAGGGCTAGGACATTCCATTTGATTTGAATTTAAAACAGCACATTCTGTAAAGTTTACAGGTATTACTTCATTTGCATAGTATAATTTCATCATTGGCTTTTGGATTGTGTGCAAATTCGTGCCATGAACTGTAATCATTCTGCCACCAGATACAAAACTTTTCAGAGGTTTAATTTCCATGATTGTTGGATCAGCTGTGTAATTAAACAAATCTCCATACAGAGTTCGATTGGCATTGTCAATGGAGACTGTTAATGTGTGTATTACTTGTGGTGTATTGGCTCTCGGAGTGATACATATCAACCGGCTGTTAGATGTCTGAGTTTTATTAACAGAGCAAGGCAATTCATCAAGGTAAGCTGAAACTGTAGATCCTATGTTCAAATGCTGTCCACCTATAGCCAATTGAGTTCCACCTGATACTGGCCCTACAGAAGGATAAATGCCTTGCAATTTGATGTTTTTATAACTAAATAATACAGATGATTCTGTGTAACCTGCATCATTTTCTACAATTACAGGAGCTACAACTGATCCATTTGAAGGTCCAGTTTGGCATGTTATACTCACTGACACTTCAAAATCCACTATGTCACATAGTACATCACCAATACGAACTTTTCCTGTTACTTCCTCCACTCTCAGACCAAGATTACTACCTTCTATTGTCACTATAGTTCCACCTTCTATTGGACCACTCAAAGGTTTGATCATATCAATTCTAGGCTTTGGACATTCCGTCACAGGATTTTCTAAGCAGGACTCACTGTAAGAGCAAGAATTACCACACCAAGTGCATTGATAAATAGAGTTTCTAGTTATACAAAGAGAACAATCAGCATGGTCTCTATGAGAACCCAGAATCTCACATTTGTATAATGTAATGGTGATTGTATCTATGTAATGTTTATGATTCCAAACAACTTTAACACTAACATTGTACTCCCCTACATCTTCCTCATAAGAATAAGTTGTTTTGTCACAGACAATGTAGTGATTGGATTCAACTCGAGCTGGTAATATCATGTTGGCAAGTTCAATGCTGACAATACATTGGAATCCAGTATGCCCAGCTTGCAAATGTGGCAAGTTTTCTACTTCTAGTTCTAATTCTTTAGGAACATTATTAGGTAGTAAAATTGTTTTTTTGTATTGTCTTATCCGTGGACAATGACCAATGCCATGATTTAACAATTTTGTTGGATTGTTTTCACCACTGATAATGGTTCTTTGACACACAGAAGTATCATGTGTACATTTGTTGTCATAAATACACCAGTTGCATGCCCACTCACTCATAATACAAGAATGACAAGTTGTATGCTTTGTGCAGTCATAAAAAGCAAAGTTTCTTGAAACAAAATCTTTGTTGGTTTCAGAGGAATGTACAGAAAGTGGAACATACACATGATCTAAATTTTGTGAAATTTTTGGTCTATGTTTAACATCAGGAGTAGGGCATGCCAGGCCATTTGATGTAACAGCAGCATCAATAGGTGGAGTATTACCAAAAACACATTTGTATTTTGCCCCAAATGGAAGCTCAGGTAAAGTCCTGATAATGAGTTGCACAGTGGTAACTTCTGTCATTGATATTCTATCAGGCAAAATTTGCTCAAAATCAATACATTGCTGGCCAGTATATTGAGACAACCATCTTGGAGCACTTTGAGTACCTTTCTGACACATATTTTGGACAGTGCAGCGCTTCTCTAAAGAACACCAGCCACAGTGAGGGTCATTAGACTCGAGACAAGATGAACAGTTGCCATGCTCTGCACACCGTTCAGTTGGTATTTGTATTATTGAATTTCTTGCTAACACATACAAAGTCTTTTGATATGGTGATAAAGTTGTATCTGGAAGTATTTTTTGACCAGGCAATAGTTCCTCACTAGAATACTCAAGAGCTTTATCTGCATCAACTAAAACTTTTTTCAATACACCATTATTTGTACCAAGAAAAGCAACAGTATGCAATCCAGTCACCGACATGGTAACAGAAGTTATCAATGTGTCATTCCAATGAATTACAGAAACCGTTTTTATTGGATACAATCCACTAATTTTTAGACCTACCTCACAGAAATTAAGGATATTTCCTGTTGTACCTACACTAGGACATTTACCATCAGATATCATGCCAGAAATGTAACCCATATTCCTAGCTTTAGTACTACCATTGAAACACATGTGCACATTTTCATTAAACTTAATCTCAATTTCTTGCAAAGAAAATACACATATGGCAGATTTAGCCATTGGTTCATTGGTAATACCTTTAGATGGACTGAATAATGCCACAAGAATTGAATCACCAGTTTCAATACCTAGTTGATTAGCAAGATTGGCACCAGCTCTAGCAATTTTTGCATCTTGAACTAAATTATAATTGACCACTTCACTCTTACCATTAATAGTCTCTTCACGAACATGGCACTCTAATGTAACTTCAGTATAGCTGTTATAATTGTCATCATTGACACAGGTGCGTGCCAAACGTGATACATAACCAAGCTCCTCATTACCAGCTAGGTGGGAATGTTTTTGTATAATCAAGAAGTATGCATAATCACTGGCATTAAATCCATAAACATATTGCACTAAGAAATTGTCACGATACTTAACATCTATTTGTATTAAACTCTGTTTTGAAAAAGTGAACTGGGCCAGTTCTAGAGTCATGAGATCGCGGCTGGATATTGCAGGAACATCGTGGCGATATTCACCATTGTTAGTAAATGTAGTACCGACATACATAACATTAGACCGATCCCATGAGTTATATCTTTCAGGTCCAATAAATGCATATGTAGAGGCATCAGCGTCATTGGCAGCAACACTTACGGGAACGAATTCTGGTAGTGCTGACAAATCACCCAACTTATACTTGAAACACGAACCCTGAGCAACAGATCCACACGCAATCACGATCCTCGCTTCCTGGTCTATTACTAATATTTTATTCACATTATCGATGTAAGTTGTTTTTATATCAGGAGATGTACATCCACTAGCATGGCACATAGGGTTGTCGAGTTTTGGCCCAGTCCGTACGACATGAATTGGTTTCAAATCAGGGCTAAGTTGATGAAGCCAATTTAATGAACCAGCGTACACTTGACCACTTACTTTATCAACAGCTAGATGGTTAAAGTGATAAGATTCATTCTGTTGATTAGGATATTGCGATATAAATTCGTATCCATTTACTATTGTGCTTCGTAGCCAGAGTGTTATGACTAATAACGTCTTGAAAGTAGCCATTATCACATTTTAAATTGAATATCCAAGATTATTATTCACTTTGTCACAACCACTGACTTGTTTGAACTTAATTTTCAACCCATTTTAGTTTACAAAAATAAAATGTAAATTGTAATAGCATCCATCGATGCCGATGACATGGAATAAACAATAGAATTAAATGCGAGCCATCGACAAGAAAAATCTTGCTCTTGATATGGATGGACCATGGACGTAATAAATTAACAGGGCTGATACTGGTGGTGGACACCATTGTATCCTTGTCATTGACTAAACAGAATGAGAAGGAGAGTGTGATGTTATTTAGGTTTAGAGAATCATGCAAGAATCGACACCTATAAATAACTAAGTCTATTATAAATACAGGTTGTACCAGGTTGTATGGGCTTTTGTATCCCTTGCGTATCCATAAGAAAGAAGAATATAAATAATGTCTGTACATATACAAATAGCAAACATGAATAGCTAATATTTAGTAAATGATCTTCTTTTATACCCGCCATACACACTACGATAAATCGTTACGATTAGACTGTACAGTCCGAACGGTACAGATAAATCGTAGCGTGTATGTTATAAAACTGCACAGTTTCCTATACTAAACGAAATCGTATAAACTGTACCGTTCGAACTATACAGTCTGATCGTAACGATTTCTCGTAGTGTGTATGGCGGGTATTACTTCCTAAAGTGCATCTACGCATATCTTTTCATGTATATTTCAACAATGTATTCCCGATAAACCATGGTTTACTAAAATTCATTTAAGTAAGTTTGCCACATCAAGTCTTATAAGAATGCGCTTAGGTCATAACTGTTCTTCTAAACTGGGCATAGTAAATTATAATATTTGTGCTTATGGTACTGGAGCAGAGGACTTAAATCACATCTTCTTCGAGTGTCCCCTCAATGATTCCTCCTCTTTTATGGATTCATTAATATCCCTTAATGTACCTCTCCCTACTTCTATTCCTTCCTTATTGTATTATAAAAATTATAATATATATAACAAGCTATCTGAATTCCTAACTAAACATAATATAATATTATAAGTAATTTATAAGAAATAATATAATGTATTTCATATACTTAAAAAGACCTATTACTTACGTTTCAAATTAATTTTACGTACTTACCTGATCCTAATCCTTCCAAATTCCGTTTTACAACCTTTTTATTTCATTATTTTGGTTTCCTTACCTTTTACCCTGTCGTGGCCAATGCACAAACCGTGCGAGCCATTATAATAATAAATAAAAAAAATGAATAGCTAAGCGAAGTGCCGGCATTATGCTAGCACTATAAATGACTATTTACATTTACATATTTTGTTATTTGTACATTTATTAACAACAGCATGGTATCCGTGCCCTAACTATAGCTATTTCCTGTAGAGCAAGCCATGCGTGAGTGATTCGTGTATTTCTGGTACCTTAATATATAAAACATAGCGTTCTGCACTCATTCTGCATATAAAATTGAATTATGGAAAAGCATCATATTTCTTTTTTCTCCGTGTTAGTATTAATAATTGTGTTAAACTTATTGTAAACATTTAATGATTTTGTGAAAATAATATTTGTTCAGGCAAGACAATAAGAAATTCTGCCTGCACCGGAACGTCGCATCATCTTTCTACCAGTAAGAGCAGCTGTGACCCACGTGATGAAAAAACCCCCAACTTCTCTCTACGCAAAATTCAAATTTGTACGCTCTCGACTTTTTCTCAGCAATTTTTCGTCTCATATATTTTATCTTGTAATTTCTTCATAATATACGCATTATACAAGAAAACTGAGCTTTATTGAATAACTACGCATTAACGACGAATCATATGGACCTTCTTCGCCGGATTTAAACCGCTAGAAGTCTCAGCGACCGTTGGAATCCGACGTCAGCAACTGAATTCATTTTGGACTACAAAATCCTGGAAGAAGCCCTAGAAGAGTAAAGGAACGGAGGTTAAGGCGTCAGAGGACCTGCAGTTGGGCCTACATCAACGATAAACGCATTTTTGGTACGGCCAACCATCCTCTCTAACCCCATCCTATCCAGCTCATTAGCATAATACCGTGCTTTTTTCAAATTTCAGTGCTTGTACTTCGCATTAAGGACAGCCTTGTGCCGCAGCTAGCATCAGCTGTCCTTGCAAGCCCGGGAAAAAACCGTAAGTCCTTTCACATTCCACCAAAATGAACCGCAATAAGTCTCCCTATAGACCAGTTGCTAATAACGAAAATGATGAAATTTTGCTTTCCGAGTGCATAAAAATCCGACGCATTATTATCGGTAGATTGACTAGATTAGAAAATTATATTAATCGCATTTCGTATGAGCAGTTATCTAGTCAGAAGTGCATAGAATTAAAATTGCGAGTTCAAGGTGCAGCCAGTTTATTTGTCGAATTTAGCCATATTCAAACAAAAATCGAACAAATGGTGAGCGATTTTGACTTACATGTCAAAATCGCTCACCATTTATCGCACAACGACAATTGTTTGAAAATGGCTATTATGGTGCAATATCTTTGGCTGAGCATATTCACAAGTCCTACGAAGTGGCTGTGAGTTCCAATGTATGTAACGATGAGTGTAGTGTTATTGAGTTGCAATCATACAATTTGCCTACAGTATCTTTGCCTACCTTCGATGGTGTTTATGAGCACTGGCTTGAATTTAGAGACACATTTTTGTCCTTAGTGCATAATTCTAACGAGCTTAGCAATATAGAAAAGTTCCACTATCTCAAATCATACCTCAAGGGAAGCGCGGAGTTAGTTATAAATGCAGTCGAATTATCTAGTGATAACTATATCGTTGCATGGGAATTGCTTCTCAATCGATATAATAATAGCAGACTGTTAGTGCATAATCACGTTAAAGCATTATTTACTATGCAATGGTGTCGATTCTGGCATGATTCTCTAAACCTAAACTTAAATTTGACAACAGTGTATCCTTGTCATCATCTAGACAGAATGAAAAGGAGAGACTGATGTCAAATTTAGTTTTAAGTTTAGAGAATCAAATCCAATGTCTAGCTAAAGAGTCGCATGTTCTTATCAGAAGGTTGATAGATACAGTGCTAAAAAACTTACGTGCTTTGAAAGTTTTGGGTGAGCCAACTGAGTCGTGGGACACCTTGATTATATAAATGATCGTTTCTAAATTAGACCTTACTACAGAACGCGAATGGGAGCAGTATAAAGGCACTTTATTTTGGAGAAATAGTAGTCCTAGGGCACAGCTTACAGTGGATGACCTAATGACCTTCCTAAAGGACCGCGCCGACATGCTGGAAACACTACAACTATCACATAATAAAAATAACTTCGAAAATAAAAAAACAGTTTACACAAAGTTCAAGCAAAATCCATTGCGCTGTTTCCACAAATAAGACATCGGAACGTGTGCGTGAGCAAACGAGAAGGCTATGTTTAATGTGTAACGCAAATCATCCACTGTATTCTTGCCAAAGGTTTCTCGATTACGATTTAAATTCAAAGCTTAAGTTTATAAGCGATAAAAAACTTTGTAACAATTGTTTACGTTCCGGTCACACTGTCGAAACTTGTAGGTTCGGGCCCTGTAGATTGTGCAACAAAAAGCATAACTCGCTTATACATTTCGATAATCATGCTAAATCTGATAACGCTAATAGAGCTGTTGCACTTCATCTGTCGCACGCCACTCAGAACGCGCAGTCAGTGCCGCTCCTCAGCGCCGAGGAGCGGGCCGTGTCCCCCGCGGGCTTCACCCCGTTCCTGCCATCCTTCTCATCGGTGCAAAAAGATACCGTAATACAAGCAAACAAAGCGCACGTAAATAATTTGTTACGCGGGGCTTGCATGAAACCTGTTTTGTTGTCAACGGCTTTGGTTGAGATATCAGACAACGAAAATAATTATCATATTGCGCGCGCGCTTTTAGACAATGGTAGCCAGAGATGTTTCATTACACAAGCATTGTGTGATTTATTAAAGCCGCCAGTAATACAGTCCATACAAGAAGTACGAGGAGTTGGTGAATCCGTCACAAAATCATCACTTATGTGCGACGTAAAAATTAAATCGCGCAACGGCCATTACAGTACGAAACTACAATGTTTTGTGCTGCCGACTATTACGTCATCGTTACCAGCTGTTAACATGCAGGATACGGAATTTATTATTCCGGAAAATATTAATTTGGCCGATCCACTTTTTTATGAATCGCAAAATATAGATTTATTGATAGGCGCAGACAAATTTTGGGATTTGCTCAATAATAATAATAAAACAAAATTATCTAATGGCCCTTTCTTATCAGATACTAAGCTTGGATGGATAGTGTCTGGGCCTATTAGCTCTTATTCGCACTGCCCCAAGGTCGTAAATTGCAATTTCACGCAAGCTATCGAGGCGCAATTACGTCAGTTTTGGGAGCTTGAGGAGGTGTCTTTGTCTCGGGATACGCGCACCGATGAGGAACGTTATTGTGAGGAACATTTCGCCGAAAACACTACGCGCAATAATGACGGAAGGTTCTGTGTACGCATACCTCTTAAAAGGGGCCCTGAGGCATTAGGCGAAAGTTATACGCAAGCGAAAAACCGTTTTCTCGCTTTAGAAAAACGATTGCAACGTAATCCCAGTTACAAAAAATTATACACAGACTTCATTCAAGAATACATAGGTCTTGGTCACATGACTCGTATAGAGCATTACGGGAGCCCAAATTACATTATGCCGCATCATGGTGTTTTTCGTGAACACAGCACCACAACAAAACTGCGCGTGGTATTTGACGCTAGTGCTGTTTCAAGTACTAACGTTTCGTTTAACGATCTGCAGATGGTAGGTCCGGCGATACAGGGCGACCTCGTTGCTATACTTCTGCGGTTTAGGTATCACAAATACACTGCGTGCGCCGATATTGAAAAAATGTATCGGCAGTGTTTAGTTCATGAAGACCAGAGGGATCTTCTATTAATTTTGTGGCGCAACGATCCGTCAGAACCATTACATATTTACCGATTAAACACCGTCACTTACGGGACCGCCTCAGCCGCTTTCTTAAGCTGTCGGTGTCTTAAACAATTAGCCATAGGGTGCGGCCAGAGTGCACTCAGATTCAGACTCAGATTCAGATTTCGAAAACAAGCGCG